CTTCCTCTTTTTTCAGTACTGGGGTTTGAAACCAGGGGCATTCCACCATAGAGCTATATCCCCAGTCCTTTTTTATGTCTTTTTTGAGAATGTCTCACTAAGTCTTATTAAGTGGCAGAGGCTGGCCTGAAACCTTTGATCTTCCTGCCTCAGCCTTCTGAGTCATTGGAAATACAGGTGTACACCTCCATGCCTGGCTTCTTTATTACTTTTCTAGTAAATATAAAAAGCATATTTAATGATAATGGATCTTAGAGATTCATAAACCTATTTTAGCCTAAGAATTTTTCAGCACTTAACCACTTTATAGGCATTGAACTCTGCTATGTTTGATCTTGTATCTTCAGGTACTTCATGAGCATTCATAATTAAAATTTATCATCAGTTCTATGAAGAATATTAGCTTAACAGCATGAACAATTTTGTTAACTTCAGGAAAATAATATCACCATGGTGTAATAGAAGGATTTTTACTTAAAATATTGTTTCTTTATTTTTTCTTTTTAAAATTCTTTATCTTGTGAATAAGCACTTGCCTCTCTTTAAAAAATATTTGATATAATATCCAATGTAGTTTTTTTCTAATGTTAGGACTCTTATTTATTATTATTATTTGAAGTACTCTACCACTATGCTACATCCCCAACCCTTTTATAGAACTTTTTTTTCCTCCTTTGGGTGCTGAAGACTGAACCAAGGGGTACTTTACCACTTAGTTACAGTCCATTGTTAGAGTTGCTCAGTACACTAGAAGTGGTCCCTTGGGCTCCTGCAATTTAATAAAGGTAGAAAAGATTGAATTTCGTAACTTTAACCAAACCAATTAATCAGCCATCAAATTAAAGTCAGCTGAGGGTTGAAATGCTCAGCTACAGTTTGGGCTTATGAGGATCAGTTATATTATTGACAAACAAAATCAGATTTGTAGATAGCAGCATGGCATTCAACACTTTTGGAAATGAATATGATTTCTCATATTATTTTCCTCAGGTCACCTACTGTGGTCTTACCCTCACACATCATTACTAAAAAACTAGTATATTACAAGTCCAATTGCATAAAGTTTTAACAATTTCATTTTACAGTAATAGTCCTGCAAAACTTGTTACCTAAAGGGAAGGTTCCTTATTTAAAAACTATCATATTAATTAATACTTACCAGATAGTTCTCTTGTAAATATAGCATCAATCTGTTTTAGCCTAGTTATTAAAATTAAACACAAACACACAAAATCTTAACATTTCAATTTTTATCCTTAAAAAACCCAGGTCTAACATCCATGCTGCTATAATTTTTCAGTACCTGAGAATTCTGTTCTTGAAGGCTATTTGTATTTTTGGAGAACTGGATGTCTACTAACTCCCCAGTAACTGTAGCATAAGGTTTGGCAACACTTCAAATTTAAAGACACTAATTACACCTAAAATGGTTTTGTAACAAGTATGCGGGTATTTTATAAATTTTGTACATAACCAAATGAACTTGGTGAGGAATTCAGCACTCCTTGGCTTATAAATTGCATGATTACACCTTTGGTAGTCTTGAATCTCAATAATATGAATATGTATCAATGGTATAAAAAAAACCCTAGAATTAGTTAACAATAATGGTGATTTCAAGTATCCAATATTGCCTATCTGGAAGTTGACTAGACAGTGTGATCTTCTTTTCACACTCTTATAGATGTTGTACTGTTTTTAGCCAGGTAAAATTTTAACTGATAGGATTATAAAGTAAAGGAAGAGAAAGATAATTAGAACCTGGGAGTAGGAACTTCTATTTCACTAAAATAAATTATGTTCTCTGCTCTACTCATTCACTATTCCTTTATTTATAGCTTCCCTCACATAATTATTACATAGTGAAATACACATGTATTTATTCTAAATATATCCTATCACTTTTCAAAGACAGCTAGATGTAAAATCTAACATTTCAGATTATTTTAAATATGCAAGTAAACAAAAACCATTGTTGATTTCTTATTTATGAAATTTCAGGAATTA